CTGATGGGGTAGGCAAGGTCGGGGCGAGTGCACATCATCGCGTACATCAGCGACCCGACGAGTTCGGCATAGGGACGGGAGGAGGCGGAGGGGGAGGTGGGTGGCGCCAGCTGGTGACCGAAGGGGAGGGGGGTGGAGACCGGTTTGGCCTGCGCCATCTCGAACTTCTCCAGCACCTGGCCGATGTAATGGGACTGGGAGAGGGTGATGGTGCGGGCGGATCGGTCGCGGGTGATGGTCATGCCGAGGTAGTTCTGCAGCGGACCAAGGTCCTTGCACTTGAGACGGTCCTGAAGGGACTGCTTCACCTGGTCCATGTCGGTCCTGGAATCAGCAAGCAGGATCATGTCGTCAACATAGACCGAGATGAAGAAGCGAGGGGAAGAGCGGATGAAGAGGCTGGCATCGGAGTGGGAGGCAGAGAAACCGAGGGACTGGAGAGTGGTAGACAGCTTGGCATGCCATTCTCGTGGTGCCTGCTTCAGACCGTAGACTGGTCGACGTAGTTGCCAGACGGTATTGCCGGGGAAAGCAGCGTGAAACCCGGGAGGTCGGCGTAGGAAAATACGCTCGTGCAGCTCGCCTTGCAAGAATGCGTTGGAGACGTCCATGGAGTCAATCTCCATGTTGTCGCGCGCACCAACGTCGAGAAGGGCGCGAAGGGTAGGTGGCTTAACGGTAGGGGCGAATGTGAACCAGTAGTCCTCAGCCCAAGTCTGTGTAAAGCCTTTGGCGACATAGCGGGCCTTGTAGACTGGTTCTTCTCCCGGCAGCTGTTTTACTCGGAAGATCCACTTGCCCTCGACAAGGTTGGCGTCAGGAGGGAGGGGCACATCGATGAAAGAGTCATTGCGGATGAAGGCCTCACATTCCAGGAAGATGGCGGCTATCCATTTGTCGGCATCCGGGCAGGTGGTAGCTTCCTGGAAGGTGGAGGGGACGAAGATGGTGGGAGCGGAGACTGCGGCAAGGATAAGAGCGCCGAGGAAGCCAGGGTAGAGGGGGGTGAGAGAGGGAGTGTGGCGCTGGACCATAGTAAGTTCCTCATGGAAGTCTTCTAGTAGGTTGAGGGAGGGAGAAGGCGGTGTGCCAAGGATGGGATCAAGGGAGCGGGTGTGCATGCGAGGGAGGAGGAAGGGTGAGGAGCGGGCAGTCGCCCTCCGCCGCTGCTGCTGTTGGTGCTGCTGAAGCCCCTGCTGCTGCTGCGGCTGCTGCTCCTCCTGCTGCTGCTGCCCCTGCTGCTGCCCCAGCTGCTGCCCCTGCTGCTGCCCCGGCTGCTGCCGCAGCTGCTGCTGCCCCTGCTGCTGCGGCGGCTGCTGCTGCTGCTGCTGCTGCGGCAGCTGCTGCTGCTGTTGGGATGAAGGAGAGGGAGGGGAGGAGGGGAAGGGGAGAGGGGGGGCGGCGGAGTGGGCAGGGGATGCAGGTGCAGTAGGATCGTAGATGTCAGCAGAGGAGGGCGGTGGAGGTGGAGCAGGGAGAGGTGGTAGTAGAGGCGCAGGAGGGAGGAGGGGAGGGAGGACAGTGTCGGTCCAGGCGAGAGGACGGGTAGGAGAAGGGAGGGGGTCTGGTGGTGGAGAGGAGTAGTACGGGGTGGTTTCGTCAAAGACGACGTCAATGCTGCGGATGAGGCGACCGGAGGGAGGGTGGAGGAAGAGATAGCCAGGCGAGTCGCGGTTGTGTCCGAGATAGACACACTCGAGAGCGCGAGAAGCGAGCTTGCCGTGGGTGCGGTCAGAAGGAGGGATAAGAACGTATGCCTTGCAGCCCCAGACACGGAGACCGGCAGCGTCAGGTTTCGTGCTTGACCAGAGTTCCGTGGGGGTGATGGCAGTGTGTTGAGGATGAGAGTGAAGGTTGAGGAGGAGGGCAGCATGGAGCAGAGCATAGCCCCAGAGGGAAGGAGGGGTGGAGGCGTGAGCGAGGAGGCAACGAGCGATTTTGGTGATTTCGCGAATGCGGCTTTCTGCGACACCATTCTGCTGCGGGGAGTGGGGAAGGGTGTGGGTCTGTTGGATGCCATGGGTGGCGCAGTAGTGGGAGAGGGTGCGGTTGAGGAATTCTCCGCCGCCGTCAGAGTGAAGGCGGCCGATGGGACGGTTGAAGTGGGCGCGGCATTGCTCTGCCCAGTGGGTGATCACAGTCGGTGCCTGGTCTTTCGTGTGGAGGAGGAAAATGGAGGAGTAGCGGCTGTGGTCGTCTACGAGGACCAGCATGTAGCGATGGCCCTGACGGGAGCGAGTGGGGGAGGGTCCCCAGAGGTCCATATGGACTAGGTCAATGGGAGCGGGAGCAAAGGATGGGTGGCTGTGGTGGTGAGACTGTTTGAGTTTGCCGTGGATGCAGGAGGGGCATGGAGGGGCTGGAGAGGAAGGGAGGGGAGGGAGAGTGGGAGGGAGGCTGTAAAGGAGGCGAGAGGTGATGGCAGTGCGGAGAGCGGCGAAATTGGGGTGGCCGAGTCGGTGATGTAGCAGTACAGCGGGGTAGGAGAGATGGTCGGAGGTGGAGGGGGTTGGAGTGAGTGAGGGTGGGAGAGGGGGAGGTGGCTGCTGCTGTTGCTGCTGCGGCGGCTGCCCTTGCTGCGGCGGCTGCCCTTGCTGCGGCGGCTGCTGGTGCTGCTGCTGCTGCTGCTGCGGCTCCTGCTGTTGCCCCTGCGACGGCGGCTGCTGCTGCTGCGGCCCCTGCTGCTGCTCCTGCTGCGGCGGCTGCTGCTGCTGTCGCTGCTGCTGCTGCGGATGCTGCCCCTGCGGCGGCTGCTGTTGCTGCTGTTGCTGCTGCTGGGGTGGAGGTGAAGTAGGGGGATGGGAAGGGTGAGTTGAGGTGCCAGTACGAGTGGTGACATGGCAGAAGGATGGCCAAGGGGTGCGGAGAGTGTAGAGGCGAGTGCGGGGGCAGAGGGGAATGCGTAGAAGGAAGCGACCGGTGGCGGTGTGATAGAGGTCACAGTAGGTGGCATTACCTGGATAGACGGCAGTGATACCTGCATTCTGGATTTCCCGATGGGAGAGGAGGTTGTTTCGGAGAGTGGGGATGTGGAGACCAGTTACCTTACCGGAGGGGAAGATTGTGCAGGGGAGAGTGGAGAGATGTGTGCATGGGATGGTGAAACTGCTGTCAGCACCGTGAACTTGAGTGGGAGGAGAGAGGGGTGTGAGTGTACCAGCATCCTTGAGAGCAGTCTCAGTGGCCCCACTATCAAGGACGAAGTCCAGAGTGGGTGGGGAGGAGGAGGAAGACACCGAGTACTGGAAAGTGGTTTCATTAATGGTGGAGGGGTACATGGAAGGAAGAGAGGGGGAAAGAGCAATGTTGCCAAGAAAACTTTCCTGGGTGAGGGGAGTGACAATACTACCAGGAGGAGGTGGGGCACCCCACAGGGGAGCAGGGGAGGTCTGAGCAGCTGTGGCTGCCGCGCTGAGGTTCAGCTGCTGCTGCTGCCAGGGGGGAGTGCTGGGTCCCCACTGGGGTGGGAGCCCGGGTCCCCATGGGGGCTGCTGCTGCTGCTGCTGCTGTTGCTGCTGCGGTGGTTGCTGCTGGAACAGCTGCTGCTGCTGCTGTGGTTGCTGCTGGAACAGCTGCTGCTGCAGTTGCGGTTGCTGCAGAAGATGCTGCTGCTGAATATTGAGGAGCGGCGTGGGGGGAGCAAGGAGGCGGAGGTGGGTGGGGAGATAAGCAGGGTGGGTTTGGATGTCAGCAGGGGAGGGACGCGGGGAGACGGTACCCCAGCGGGGAGGTGTGCCAACATTGCCCCGTGCGTACCAGGCATCATCGAGAGCCTTGAAGCAAGTGGTAGGGGGATGGTTGGTTTGACCGCAGGGTGTCCCTGCCCGGGGACCGTAGCGACGGACATAGGTGCAGGGAGGGAGAGTGCCAGGGCGGGGTCCTCGGTTTCCAGAGGGACCGCCCTGACTGGGGGTGCCGTGCTCATCCCCAGAAGAGGCACCATGGTTGCTGGCGCTGCTGGTTCCTTGACCGCTGCCTCCCTTGCCCCCAGTTCCCCCTTTGCCGTTGCGTTTGCCCTGCTTGCGGGGCTGGGTAGTGTTGAGAGAGGAGGAGGGAGGGTGGGAGGAGGCGAGGTTGACCATGGGGGTGCGAAGTTTGACTTCGGTATCAATGATCCACTGTTCAACAGAAGTGATATTGGCCATGGGATTGGCCTCGGTAAAGGCGTGAAGGCGGGATTCATAGTCTGGGGTGAGATTGAAGAGGAGGCGATGGATTTGGAGGGGTTCGGAGAGACCGGCTTGGCGGGCTTCGAGGCGATCAGCTACCTCTCGCATGCGGCCGACATAGTCTACTGCCCCGTCACAGGTGGCGAGGGTAATAGAAAAATATTCCTGGAAGAGGATTCCCACGGAGCTGATGTCGCGGCGTTCGAACATAGCATGGAGTTCTGCCCATATCACTGAGGCACGGAGTTCCCGGGCCTGGAAGCGGCGCATGAGGGAGTCGGGGAGAGCACCGAGGATGACAGTGCATGCGCAGTTGTCAGCGGCTGACCAGGCGATGAACTTAGGAGTGAAGGTAGTCATATCGTCGTTGTATTTGGCGACGACGGCGAGGTGAGCATTGCGGCCAGCAACGGCCTGGGCGTAGGCATCAGCTGCTGCATCGTACTCGGCTTTGCGGATGAGGTAGGCACGGCGACGCATAATGAAGTCTGCATCTGCGGTGGCTTGGTCGGCGGCGGTCTGGAGCTCGGGCTCAAGGGGAGGGTCGCCAGGAGGGGGAGGGAGAGGAGGGGTCTTGCCGGGTTGGTCAGGTTCGGTGGGGGGGAGGGCGTGGGGGCGGCGGAGGACGACGTCAAGGACGCGGTAGGGGGGGATCCATGCATTGGTGAGGACTCGTCGGATGCTGCCGACGAACGAGTACCAGTTAATGGCAGATTTGTCGGCTGCAAGCTGTAATTTGTCAATGGAGGAAGTATCGATAGGAGGAGGGAGGGGGGAGGGGGAGGGCATGGGGTTAGCCATGAGGGACGGCTGCAGGTGGACCCGCAGTGGTCACGAAAGCGCGCAGGTGGCGGCAGCTGGTGGGGCTGCTATGGCGCGGGTGCGGAAGCGGTGGGGAGGTGGAGGAATGGCGCAGGCAGCGGAGGTTGGCGCGGAGGTGGCTACGAGGCTGCGAAGCGGCGGGAGGTGGCGGCGGCTGGCGAGGCCGTGGCGGACGCAGGCGCAGAGGTGGTGCTGAGGCGGCGGAGGGGAGCGGCGCGGGCGACGGCTGGTGGGCCCGCGGCGACGCGGTTGCGGAGGCGGCGTCGAGGCCGTGAAGGGGAGCAGCGCAGGCGGCAGCGGTTGGTGAGGCCGTGGCGACGCGGGCGCGGGGGCGACGAGGCCGCGGAGGGGAGCAGCGCGGGCGGCGGCGGTTGGCAAGGCCGCGGCGACGCGGGCGCGGAGGCGGCGTCGAGGCCGCGGAGGGGAGCGGCGCGGGCGGCGGCGGCTGGCGAGGCCGAGGCGTCGCGGGCGCGGAGCCGGCGGCGAGGCCGCGAGGGGGAGCTGCGCGGGCGGCAGCGGCTGACGAGGCCGCGACGTCGTGGGCGCGGAGGCGGTGTCGAGGCCGCGGAGGGGAGCGGCGCGGGCGGCGGCGGCTGGCGAGGCCGCGGTGATGTGGGCGCGGAGGCGGCGTCGAGGCCGTGTAGCGGCGCGGGTGGCGGCGGCTGGCGCGGCCGCGGCGTCGCGGGCGTGGAGGCGGCGGCGAGGCCGCGGAGGGGAGTTGCGCAGGCGGCGGCGGCTGGCGAGGCCGCGGCGTCGCGGGCGCGGAGGCGGCGTCGAGGCCGCGGAGGGGAGCTGCGTGGGCGGCGGCGGCTGGCGAGGCCGCGGCGTCGCGGACGCGGAGGCGGCGTCGAGGCCGCGGAGGGGAGCGGCGCGGGCGGCGGCGGCTGACGAGGCCGCGGCGTCGCGGGCGCGGAGGCGGCGTCGAGGCCGCGGAGGGGAGCGGGGTGGCGGCGGCTGGCGAGGCCGCGGCGGACGCAGGCGCGGAGGCGGCGACGAGGCCGCGGAGGGGAGCAGCGCGGGCGGCGGCGGCTGACGAGGCCGGGGCGACGCGGGCGCGGAGGCGACGACGAGGTCGCGGGGGGAAGGCGCGGGCGACGGCGGGCGCAAAGGCAGCAGCAAGGCTGCGAAAGAAGGGGAGCGCTAAGGGGGGAGGGGGAAGGTGGCAGAGGAGCCGGGAAAAAAAAAATGAAAGGGAGGAGGCCGGGGGTTGCGGTGGCCGGGTGGGCCTTTGGAACGATAGTAGGCCTAGGATAGTGTGCTCTATACCATGTGGGGAATGAGAGTTAGAATAGAAGTTGTATCTTGATTGAGAATGATGGGGGTATACATAGTTGGAGTTTGGATACTAGCCTTGGTTGGCATTATTGGACCCCAACCAAGAAGTTGGGTTGGGTGATTATTGGTGGGGTCCAATAATGTTGGCCAAGGTGGGGTTGGGCCAACATTATTGGAGGGAGCCAATAATTCTACCCAACCCAACCTTTTGGTGTCCAATAATTGGACCAAGGTTGGGTTCCAACCTACAAACTGGGTTACCCCTGTTTGTACACCCAAACTAAGTTTGGGTGCTTATCTCTAGCCTATCCTATAGCATATATGCAGGTTACAAGAGGAGAGATATTCTAACACCACGCCCCCTGTGAACGCGCGGTACTCTGCCATGTGATGGCTCCACCCACCATCTCACCCACTTGCATGACCACCAACATCGAATCTCCCTGCACGTGTAGCCTCGTGATGCTGAGTGCAAGTGCGAGCTCCACGCCCCCAATGAACGCGCGATACTCTGCCATGTTGCACGTGTTGCCACGAGGTGAGTAGTGGACTACTATATACACCTCAAGAACCACCCCACTTGCACCATCCACCCACCCACCTGCATGACCACCAGCATTGCGTCTCCCTGCACATGCAATCTGGTGATGCCGAGTGCCAGGGCCAGCTCCACACCCCCTATGAACCCCACCAGCCGACCCACCTGCATAACCACGAGCATGGAGTCTCCCTGCACATGCAATCTGGTGATCCCGAGAGCCAAGGCGAGCTCCACCCCTCCTATGAACGCCCGGTACTCTGCCATGTTGCATGTGCCCCGGCCTACTCCCTCCCTCATGCACACCAGCTGGTGGGGAGTGGGGTGGAGGAGAATAGACGAGGAGGAGTCACGAGGAGTGGTCGGAATGAGTTCAAGCCATGTTGCACGTGCCTCGCCCCACACCCTCCCAAACTCACACCCTCTGGTGGCAAAGCGGTAGTGGGAGGGTGGGTACAATGGGAAAGGGGAAGGAAGGACGGGGGGTGTGGGAGGGGGGATTGACGGGAAGAAGCTGAGGTAGAAGAAGGGGAATAAGAAAAGGGAGAAGGGGGAGAAAAAGTGGGAGAATTGAGAGAAAGAAAATGGGCCACAGCACAGACCTAAGTCGACTTCAAACGCACCTCCTCCCTCTCCCATCCTATCTTAAAACACCTCCCAATCGTCCCAAGCCCGACAGACTCACCTCGTTGTCCCCCTCGTCCCACAACATAGACCCCACCCCGGCCCGCCCGGGTTGCCATTAGATGCCCCGTCAAACCAACTCGTTCCCACACCCAACATCTCACCTCACCCCCTTCTCACCCCACCCCACGCCTAAGCCCATCTCACCTCGTTCCCCCCTTCGTCCCACAGTACAGATCCCGCCCCTGCCCGCCCCGGGTTGCCCTTGGGAGACCTGTCAAGCCAGCACCTAGAGCAGGCACCTCTCATAAACCCTCATAACCCCTCATTCTCTACAGCCCATCACCACTCACCTCGTTGCCCCCTTCATCCCACAGTACAGATCCCGCCCCTGCCCACCCCGGATTGCCCTTGGATGCCCCGTCAAACTCCATGCGGTAAAGCGCCTGGTGGGGGGTAGGATGTTAAAGAGGAATGAAGTAGGAGGGAGAAGGCACGTTGGGAGGGGGGGGGGGGAAGTTGAGTAGGCAGAACACAGGATGGCCAAGTGTTGCCCTTAAAGGTGCCGTCAAACTCCATGCAGCAGAGCGCCTGGGGGGGTGAAAGCCAACAAGAGCAGATGGGAATGCGGTCAGCCAGAGAGGGGAGAGGAGGCGAACGGAAGGGAGAGCTGGAGGCAGAAAGTTGACTTTCAAAGCTCGGTCAAACTCCATGCGGTAGAGCACCTGGTGGGAAGGTGGCAAAGCATGTTGAGTAGGGGAATAGAGGAAATATGGTAACACAAGTGCAATCTATCCGAGATAAGAAAAACAGGAAGGACTAGCTATTGTCTCCCGCTTTTATATTTCGTTTTTCTAGGCTGATAGAAAAAAACTACCTCCGGGTCTATTTGCAAGCCAAGTGTTGCTACGTGTGGCCGCATGTCCTCCCCTCTCATCATCCCCACCGCCCCTTCCTCTACCACTGCTCCCCCCTCGCCCTTGGGTTTGGGTCTATCAGTGAGAGACTGACCTGAGGGTCTATTTGCAAGCCAAGTTCCGCTACCCGTTGCTGCATGTCCTCCCCTCTCCTCATCCTCACTGCCCCTTCCTCTACCACTGCTCCCACTCCCCCTTCCCCTGCCCCAGTTCCCCCATCCCCCTCCTCCCCATCTCTCCCTCCTGCAGCGGACCCCCCGCTTTCTCCCCCGCTCTCTGTGCTTTCTACTCCTGGTGAGGGGTTGGCGGTGGGTGGGGTAGAAAGGGGGGAAGCTTTTAAATCGACTCAAAAGTCTCCTCATGCCCCTCCTCCTCATCCCTCCCTCCTGCACCAGATTCCCCGTTTTCTCCCCCGCTCTCTGTGCTTTCTCCTGTTGGAGGGTTGGTGGGGTGGTGTGGAGAGGGAGGGAGAAGAAAAGATGAGAGGGTGTTTTTTGAGAATAAAAAGGGTGAAATCTGCAAAAACCTAGCAGCAACATTTACACGAGAGAGGGAAGATAGGTGCAGGGAGTGAAGGGAAGTGTTGAAAATAACGTGACAGAAGCAGTGAAACACGCACTAGCAGCAGCATATTACATGCAAGCAGCAAACTAGCAGCAATCAAACACTTCAATGCAACGCCTACCAGCAGCGATACAGTCCGCATTCGCAGCAGCATCGGCAGAAGCAGCAACGGCAACAGCAGCAGAAACAGCAGCAGGAGTGACAAGAGCACGGGAAGGAGCGGGTATAGCGGTCCTTTTTAGAGCGGAAGCAGTGGCGTGTGTGGGGGGAGAAGAGATGAAGACGTTAGCCAGGGCGAGGTAAGATAGGGCTTCATCCAATGTGGCGAAGCTCTTGTGCAGATTGCCCTTGAAATTGGTCACCTGGAAAGGGAAAAGAGGAAGAAGGAGGAGACAGTATAGGGTACAGTGAGTGCACCGACAGAGGAGATGGGAGGGCGAGGTGGGAAATGGCTTCATCCAATGTGGTAAAGCTCTTGTTCTGGTTGCCCTTGAAATTGGTCACCTGAAGAATGTTCAACAAAAGGACTTTGCATGGATGAAGTAAAGGAAGAGGTGATGCGTAATCGGATGCATCGTGTCATGCATGGTGGGATGGATGGTGGGATGCATGGTAGATGCATGGTGGGATGGATGGAGGGATGCATGGTGGGATGGATGGTGGGATGCATGGTAGGATGCATGGTGGATGCATGGTGGGATGCATGGTGGGATGCATGGTGGGATGCATGGTGTGATGGATGGAATGATGCATGGTGGAATGCATGGTGGGATGGATGGTGGGATGCATGGTGGGATGCATGGTGGATGCATGGTGGAATGCATGATGAGATGCATGGTGGAATGCATGGTGGAATGCATGGTGGAATGCATGGTGGAATGCATGGTGGAATGCATGGTGGAATGCATGGTGGAATGCATGGTGGGATGCATGGTGGGATGCATGGTGACATCCCAGCTGCATACCTGTCGTTGACATTCCGGCCACGTCAGATAAATTCCAGGCTGATGTCCTTTCCGAACCGCGTAGTACTTATTCTTAGAACCCTCTTTCCCGCCACTAGACGGCTTGGCCTTAGTCATTGCCTTCTGCGCCAATTGTGTCACGCGGCGGCTCGACAGGGCTTGAAGCGCGGAAACGAGGCGCATTCGCCTTCGCTTCGCTTACGTCTGTCGCGTAGCGAGTACAAGCTACGAAATTCTGCGCGTGAGACGCGTCAAGAAAAGTATGGGCATTCGCTTCACTCTATTTATGGAACCTCCGCGCTCTGCGATCTCACCTCCCCAGCAAACCCTAGCTCGGGCGATAAGGTTGCAGCTTTTGCTTCCGCAACTCGTGCGACTATGGACCGTTGATGGCTGGCTGGAAAATGCTACCAAAATAAGGACGCGGTAAAAGTAGACAATCGATCGTCAGTCACGATCGATGGCGGATTGGTTACCCTATTTACTCGGCTGTAGCCATGCTACAAAACGCTTTTTGGCCAGAATTTCTGTTCAGTGTGTGAATGCGACTGATCACTGATCGCGGGAGATCCGTCAATTCTCAGGTGCGATCGTTACAATGTCGCGGTCGCCACGTTTCGCCAATCGATCTGCCCACTCGATTGTGGTGCTCGATATATGCAGACGATCCTGCAATATTTGCACTTTCACCGCGTCCTAAGGGCTTCTTCTGACAGGAGTTTTGAAGAATGCTCGCGAGACATCGTTCATCCGAACCTTCTATTTTCTTCACCGCTTTGAAACGCAACCAATCGTATTGAGTTTGTTCTACTTCATCTTCGAGGTGCTGGAGAAAATGGGCTTCCCGGCTCGTTACACTGGCTGGGTGAAAGGCATGCACATGAACACTGAGGACAAACCTGTTCATGTGGAGGTGGTCTCTCGGATGAGGCAAGGTTGACCCGAACATCCCAGCGCAATTCGGTCGTCGGAACCGATTTGCCAGGGTCGTCGAGACGGGTCGTCGGAGCTGGGCCTGACGAGGCGGGCAACTGACGCGCGTGCGGGCCCGCCAGCCTGGCCCAGGGCTGGGCAGAGCGCACGACCGCCGCCCCGCAACCACCCTGCGTAATTGAACAGCGCCCCACGTTACCGGGTGGGGGCAGCGAGCTGGCGAGCCCTCGCGCGAGGGAAAGTAAACTTCGCGCGAAGGGAGCCCTCCCGTGCCTGCTGCCCGCGACGTCCTAGTGACCCTCGCGACCTGCCCGGACGGGCAGGCGAGGGCCATGCGAAATTCGGGTGCTCCCCTCGGGATGCTCGACAATTTCGCGACCCGTTGCGGTGACGCCACGTGTTCGCACGCGAGTTCGCATCGGGTGCATGTGAAATTTCGAACCCGGCGAAATTGGATTGCTCGCATCGCGGCGCAGGGTTTTCGTGATCCGCTGCGAAATCGACAAGTGTCGGCCGAAATGTCGCACCGCGCGCATGCGAAATCGCCGAGCGAAGCCAAGGGACGCGAAGTCGACGTGCTGGCTCGGCGGCGAAGGAGCACTTGTGCCACTTGTGCATGCAGCCCTCCAAACCCTGCCGAGCCAGGCACCACGAACCCTGGGCGATGCCTCAACCGGCCTGTGGGGCACCGACTCCCTTTTCTTGGTGGAAGGAGGCATCGCTCCTCATTTTCGGCATCTCGTTTCTCTTTCAACATTTCTCCCATCTCTGTGCCTTCCTTACTCCCATATTCTCGTCCCTTAGCATGTAGTCACTTCCCTTCCCCGCCATGGAGGCCGACCCGAAAGCCGGCGAAGCGGCGCCGACTTCGCAGGACTTCCCTCTGTATCTCGACCTCGGTTGTGGACTCACTGCCAAGCTCGAGGAACACGACTACGCCGTCCTCGTAGACCATAGGCTAGAGTTCAACGCCTGCTGCTTGGGATTCGGCCTCAAGTGAGTCTCCGTATGGGGATGTCGGCGTCGACCTCTACATACCTTGCTGGCCGACGCATCGTTGGTGTTAGGGTTGTCCCACGTCTAGGCCGGCACTACGAGTTTAGGGTTTAGTTCAGTTCACGTTGACGCCGACTTTAGGATTCAGGTTTATCTACCGTAGGTCGGTGTCGGCATAGGGTTTAGGCCCGCATCGGTCGGCTCCATTGATTACAACGTCGCGAGGGTGGTGCACCGTCGTACTAATGCCATCCCCGTCAGTTGGCGGTTCCTAAACCAACGTATCCACCGTCGTGTCATGCACCTCCTCACTCACTTCTAATACCCATGCATGTGTGCAGGCACGCATGGACTCGCGCGGCGCCGGCCAACATGCGATTGTGGTCGATAGGACTCGGCCGGCTTTGGGCGGCGATGGGTCGGGCGGACCACACATGCTTTGCGACGGTTTTCGGCGCCGACATAGCGGTTATCCCCCTGACTTCGAGGTGAGCTGGTTCGAAGTCGTCATGATGTGTGTTGCATCCTATGTCGATGCTCTGTTCTGAACGACGCCGTCGTGTCTTGCCAATGCAGCATCGCACCGCTTCCGGGAGCACATTGCAGCATCGTTGTCATCATGTACCCCGGCGACTTGTTGAAGGCCGGGGGGAAGAAGATCATGACCTCGATCCGGCACGTTGACCCGCAGACCGTGAAGCAATGGCACCGCGACGAGGCGATCCGCGTGCTGAAGTGAGCTCGATAGTGTAGTCGACGACGCATGTGATTTCGCCGCGCAGCGTAAACCATGCTCGCCGACAATCTGTGCCATGTTGCTTCAAGTTTTTCTGGGCGGCGGTCTTGGCCGAGCTTGGGCGCGATGGTAGGAAGTGGGAGTGGGCGAAGCCTTCTGATGAAGAGGTGGAGGACAGGCTCGCAGACTGCGATCAACCCGTTCGAGATGTGAGTTCCGAACGATTTACCGTCCTATAGTATGTCATCCTTGCACAATGCGATTGCCGAACGCGGTGCTCATCCTTGCGCTCTGAACTGTTGTATGCAAAAAGTGCCCGACGCCGTCCGGGACGGGGACGTGTGTTAGAATCAGTGACGAGAATGGTTGACTAGGAAGCAAGGAAGGGTACAAGTAGAATGTCGAGAGAAATTGTGTACCCCCTAAGGCTAAACCCACTACAGCCTAGAGAAATGTACACACATATGTTTGACACACCCCCATAGGCGAAGTGGGGGATAGCAAGAGCAAGCAATGGTCACAAGACCAGTCAAGAGAAGAAGCAAAGCAAAGCAAGCTCAGGGTGGATCACAAAGTCACCACACAGTCCGAGCACAAGCAAA